TGAAGAAATAGAAAGTCAGAACAAACCAATTATTAGTAAGGAGAATGAATCAGTAATAAAAAAAATCCCCCAAAACACAAAACTCCAGGACCAGATGGCTTTACCAGTATATTCTACCAAACATTCAAAGATTTAATACCTATACTTCTCAAGCTTTTCCAAAAAATAGAAGAGGAAGAAAAGCTTCCAAACAAATTCTACAAGGCCAGCATTACCCTGATAGCAAAACCACACAAGAACATCACAAAAAAGGAAATTATAGGCCAATATCCTTGACGAACACAGATGTAAAAATCAGCAAATATTAGCAAACCAATTCCAACAATACACTAAAAGGATCATAAACTAAATAAGGCTGCCTGGGTGACTCAGTTGGTTGGTCCAACTCCTTTTCAGATCAAGTCATGATCTTACAGTTTACGAGTTCAAGCCACACACTAGGCTCTGTGCTGACAGTGCAGAGCCTGCTTGGGGTTCTCTCTCTCTACCCCTCCTGTCTTCCTCCCTCTCTCCCCACCAAAATTAATAAATTAACTTTAAAAAAGAAAAAAGAAAAAAAAAGGATCATACACCAGGATCAACTGGGATGTATTCCAGGGATGCAAGCTTGGTTCAACGTCTGTAAATCAATTAAAATGGTTCACTACATTAACAAAATGAAAGATAAAAATTATATGAACATCTCAGTAGATGCAGAGAAAGCATGACAAAATTCAACATCTATTTATGACAAAACACTCAACGAACTGGGCAGAATGGAATGCACCTAAACATAATAAAGGCCATGTATGACATCCCACAGTTAACATCATAATGGTGGTCCTCTAAGAGCAGGGACGGCACAAGGCAAGGATGCTCCCTCTCGGCACTAGTACTCAACAGAGTACCAGAAGTGCCAGGCATGGCAGTCAGGCAAGAAAAAATAAGTCATTCAAATCAGAAAGATAGAAACAATACTGTCACGATTGGCAGATGACATGATACTATATACAGAAAACCCTAAAGAATCCACCAAAAAACTGCTAGAATGAATATATAAATTCAGTAAAGTTGCAGGATACAAAATCAATATTCAGAAATCCATTTCATTTCTATGCACTAATAATGATGCATCAGAAAGATAAATCAAGAAAACAATCCCATTTATAACTGCATCAAAAAGAATAAGATATCTGGCAATAAATGTAACCAAGGAGATGAAAGACCTCTACACTGAAAACCATAAGACACTGGTGAAAGAAACTTAAGAAGGTACAAATAAACAGAAAGGTATTCTGTGCTCATGGACTGGGGGAAATAATATTATTAGAATGTCGATACCACACGACAATCTGCAGATTGAATGCAATCCCTGTCAAAATACCAACAGCATACTTTATAAAACCAGAATAATTCTAAAATTTGTATGGAACGACAAAAGACCTCAAAGCGCCAAAATAATCTTGAGAAAGAACAGAGCTAGAATTTTCACACTCCATATCAACCTATGCTGCAAACCTACAGTAATCAAAACAGAATGATACTGGTATAAAAATAAACACACAGATCCGTGGAACCAAAGTCAGAAAATGACAAATTTCATATGATTTCACTCGTATGTGGAATTTAAGAAACACAACAGATGGGGGCGCCTGGGTGGCTTAGTCGGTTAAGCGTCCGACTTTCGCTTAGGTCATGATCTCGCGGTTCGTGGGTTCGAGCCCCGCGTCGGGCTCTGTGCTGACTGCCAGCTCAGAGCCTGGAGCCTGTTTCAGTCTGTGACTCCCTCTCTCTCTGACCCTCCCCTGCTCACGCTGTCTCTCTCTCTCTCTCTCCTAGAAATAAATAAAACATTAAAAAAAAAAAAAGAAACACAACAGATGAAGATAGGAGAATGGAAGGAAAAATACGATGAAAACAGAGAGGGAGGCAAACCCTAAGAGACTTTTAAATACAGAGAACAAACTGAGGGGCGGGGAGGTGGGTGAGGGGATGGGCTAGATGGGGGATGGGCATTACGGAGGGCACTTATTGGGATGGGCACTGGGTGTCATATGTAAGTGATGAATCACTGGGTTCTGCTCCTGAAACCAATACTACACTCTATGTTAACTAACTTGGAGTTAAATAAATAAATAAATAAATAAATAAATAAATAACACAAACCAAACAAAATGAAAACAAACTAAAAACAACTGAGGGTCCTTTTGGACTCTTCTTAAAATCTGTTTCAATTTCTTTTCCTTACGAAGTCACATTAAATCAGATGGTCATTTTTAAAGTTGAATAATAGAACAAATTTTTTTTCTCTTGATATGTTGAATCATTTGTACTCAACCAATTATGCTTGTTCAGTAAATACATACCTGTTCAGTTATAGATCAAAGATAGTTCCAAAATTGAAATTTTGTAAAATGTAGGAATAGTTCATTTCTTTGTGTGTGTGTCTGTGTGTATCTTAAGATTACTTGGTCTATACAGCAGCATATTAGAAAACTACGTGAGGATGTGCTCCAGCAAACTGATGTTGTAAAACAAAACCAAAGGGATGCTATGGGAGATAAGAAATTGTGTCTCCGACTCCCAAGAGCAAGCACAGGAAGTCCCAGAATGCCAGCTGCTCATTAGGCCCAGAGACAGCGAGTACACATCGGGGCAGTATCTACGAAGGCAGGAGGTCTTGGAGTAAAGCAAAGGGGACTCCATTCTACAGATGCTGAATAAAATGGAAAACTGGAGAATGTGATAAAAGCGTTTAAGAAAAATATTGCAAATAGAAAAGCAAAGCATTAGTAAATAGCAAGACAAATGGGTATGATTTTAAGCCATAAATGGAAATAAATAAAGAGAACCTGATGCTATGGACACTTTCCTTGAATACTACTGGGGACACAGCACCGACAATGCCAAAGTATAGCCTACCTAACAGTGGAAGGGAACAGCTCTGCTTGTAGGAAAAAATATTTTTTCGAGAGAAACTGTGCGACCACAATGGGAGCGGACAGCATAAACTTAGATGAAGTAAAGCATGCATGGGTAGGTGACAGCACGGGCCCAGAAGGCCAGTCTGATAGACATAGTGTGAAATTCAGAAGTGCACACATAATTTGGCCCCCTTTATAAAGAGTGAAATGATTCGTGTTTAAAAGGAAAACTTTAGGGGCGCCTGGGTGGCTTAGTCGGTTAAGCGTCCGACTTTCGCTTAGGTCATGATCTCGCGGTTCGTGGGTTCGAGCCCCGCGTCGGGCTCTGTGCTGACTGCCAGCTCAGAGCCTGGAGCCTATTTCAGAGCCTGTACCTCCCTCTCTCTCTGACCCTCCCCTGCTCACGCTGTCTCTCTCTCTCTCCTAGAAATAAATAAAAATATTAAAAAAAATAAAATAAAAGGAAAACTTTACATGTGTTTACACAGCACTGTAGGGTAACAGAAAGATAAAACATAATTAAAAATTATATTGGAAAATGTTCTGATTCTTAGAATTTTAAACCAAAATTTCTTTCTATATTGGAATTCTGGTTTTTTTTATGAGAAAAGTGTTTAATGAGAGAAAATGAGAAGGCATTTCATGCTATTTTACAAAGCAACTCAATTATTAGAAAACACACAATAGACAAATATTCTTAATCAACAAAATAAACTAAGTAAAAAAGAAGAACTATTGGTCGGAGACTGTAATAAACATCTTTCCACATGTTTTCAACTATTCCTCTTCTAACATTACTTTTTGCTCTACGTAACAGTCCCTTGAGTTACATGCTATTGATTGCAATCATAAAATGAGAAACTTGAGGATGAGAGATTAAGTAACTTGCTCTAACTCATGGAACAAGGATTTAAATCTAGATCTCTGATCTAGCCCATGACTGTTTCAACATTTCATCTTTATTTTATTATTTAAAAAAATTTTTTTTAATGTCTATTATTATTGAGACAGAGAGAAAAACAGCACGAGTGGGGGAGGGGCAGAGGGAGAGGGAGACACAGAATCCCAAGCAGGCTCCAGGCTCTGAGCTGTCAGCACAGAGTTCTATGCAGGGCTCGAACCAACAAACCGTGAGATCATGACCTGACCCGAAGTTGGACGCTCAACCGACTGAGCCACCCAGGCACCCCAACTATTCATCTTTATTGAACACCTGTCAGATGCCTCTCACAAGCCCCCAGAGCCAAAAGGTAGGAGAAACACAATAAGACACAAATACAGAACAAGCCTCATTAAATAACTTTATACCAGACAATGAAAGAGTTAATCTAAAGAGAAATATCATGCCAGAAAAAATTACAGGTAAACAATTCTGTATTTCCCAAGTGGGATTTGCAACACATGCCCAATGATGTAGTTAATAAACGCTAGGGATTTACTGCTATTGATGTATTGTGGAAATATAGACAAGGTAGCAAAAACATTATTGCCAAGTTAAGAAAACAAAACCTAATAATTCAAAGAAACCTAGAAAAATATAAAGCAGTGATTGGATGGCTTACATTTTTACTTTATTAAGCTTCCAGTTTACACTAGAAAGCTGTAGTTTTTTTTTTATGGAAGTCATTTATAATATTCTTTGTATCCTATTTCCACCATTATTTATATTTTCCCCCATTTTTATAAGTGGATGAATGAAGACAGCCGTATAAAAAGTTACATAGAAGTGAACTAAAAAATCAGGTTACATTCCATTAGAGACTAAGGCACTAATTGATAATCTTTTAATTTATCATGAAATGATATAGAAGCCAAAGAAAACAGTCCATTTTGCAGTCATATGACACTGTTACAGGAAGTTCTATGACAAGAAAAGACTGCTATGGTCACAGTCAGTGTAATTAGACAACATACCAACATCTTTTGTTTTAGGCAGAAAAGCAGCAAGAAAATTTATGAAGGCAAAAAAAATCTTGGTCAATGTTTTACAGACAAAGCAATGTCATGACTTAAGTTCATAAAATACTACCAAGTAGATAAACTATTAATTTATAACGACTGAATTTCTACACCTCTGAAGAAAATACAATTACTTACTTTTTTCTCCGGTTTGATTCCACAAAATATTTACGAGCTCGATTTCGACATATTTTTTGTTGCTGCAATAATATCTGGCGCTCTTCTTCTAAATTTTTCTCTAGATGGATTTTCATAGCTCTAATGATAGCACAAAGTTAAGGAGAATGGTTCAGGTCCTCAGTGGATGACTCAGTGCTATCTGATAAATTTAATCACAGCTTTGTTCTAATGATGCAATCAATGATATTTTGTGAACAACTAATACGTGTATACATTAGTGTTAGTATATGACCAGCAAACGTTTTACATAAAAAAATTCTGACTTCGTATTAGAACTGTATATCTCACTTTCCCTGGGGGAAAAAATTGTACTTTTAGATATTATGAACTCAGATCATGAGACTGCTTATCTTTTCATTCATTATGAACCTCCACAAAACCAGCTAAACCAATCCAAATCTGGACTGGACTTCTCATTCTTTGTTGTCTAAAAGCTCCGTGTCACATTCACGATAAATTCTAAATCTCTAGACCCAGTACAGAAAGCATTTTATGATCTGGTCTGTTTGTTCAGCCTCAATTTTCAGCGTTTCCCTGCATGAATCCTATGTCCAGACACATGAAGGTACTGACAGAACAAACCGGGCCCACTGTCGCTCCGCACCCGCGGGGCTAACGCCACACTTCCGCTTGGGGCCGCCGCGGGCAGGTCCTCTCCTATTTTCTAGCCACTGGAGGACTTGACATCTTCCTGAGAACATGCTACGAATATCTGTGTCTACATTTCTAGAACTCAATGCATGGCATGGTGCTTAGAATACAGTAATGGCAATAAAATCTCCCTGAACCATTTCCTTGGAGAAAATTCTCCGCAGATATACAGGGCAAAAGATACATACATTTTTTAAAAAATGTTTTTAGTGTCGTGGTGTAGTTAATGTAGTGTAGACAGACAGTATAGATATTAATCATCTACTATAGTGGAAGCATTTTCCCCAGTTCATTGTACTTCTGCAATTTCTCCTTACACTGAAGTTTTAAACTAATGAGTCATCTTTGAAGTATTTTTTTCCTTTAAAATCTCTTTTCTTTCCAAAAGTAAACTTCCTATACCTTCAAACACATGAAAAATATGAAATTCTATTTTCTATCTGTATTATTTTACAACTTTATACTCCTATTTTATTAGCTTAAGTTTATTTCGGAAGGTATTACCAAGTGTGACTCAAGGTAGAGATGGTGAATTTAGGTTACTCTTTTCAGTATAAATACAGAGATAATACTCTTTTCTGAATACAGAGAAAGGAGATACTAGAATAAAGTTAAAGGGATTCTTATCATCAAAGAGTTTGATTGTTACTTAATTTTAAGGATAGTCAAGACCTGAGTGTGTTTATAAGTTGTAGGGAAACAATGCCATCACCAGTTGAAGGTAAATTATAAGAGAGGTGGGATAATTTATGATCCAGGGTGCTGAGGAGAAGAACGGCTATGCAAATAAGGGCACAGGTAGACAGACTTAGGTTCTACAGTGACATCCCATCAGTGAGCCTGGAAAAAGCCTGGGGGTAGGGATGGTGCTTGGGAGTGTGGGGGTTTGTGTTGTGAGGAGGGACCTGAGGGGCTTCATGGTGTCTATGGTCTTACAAAGTGGTAAACAGTCTGCTGCGAGCTGGAGGAGGTGATCTGGCACAGGCATTAAGAGGAAGAATAGACAACCCTGTTCTTGTTCAGGTGAAGCTGGAAATCGTTCATCTGTGTGGTGCCAGTCCGTATTGTTTTGTGATTTTTCTCGGACAGCAATTTTGTTACCCAGGTGAAGGAACAGAGAAGTAGAGGCAGAAGAACAGGGGTGCAAAGAACCAAGGATGTTGGTGAGAGGGTATGTGCAGGTACTTAAGAATAGGGTGTAAGTCCCGAAAACCAAACAACCCAGTGAAGAAATGGACAGAAGATATGAACAGACACTTCTCCAAAGAGGACATGCAGATGGCCAACAGACACATGAAACGATGCTCAGCGTCCCTCCTCATCAGGGAAATACAAATCAAAACCACACTGAGATACCATCTCAAGCCGGTCAGAGTGACTAAACTGAGCAAATCAGAGGACTCTAGATGCTGGCGAGGATGTGGAGAAACGGGCACCCTCCTCCACTGTTGGTGGGAATGTAAACTGGTGCAGCCCCTCTGGAAAACAGTGTGGAGGTTCCTCAGGAAACTAACAACAGAACTCCCCTAGGACCCAGCACTAACACTGCTAGGAATTTACCCAAGGGATACAGAAATGCTGA